CTATCCCCGCCCCTATCCCCGCCCTCGGCTCCGCCCCCTTTTCTGCCAAAGGCTGGATTCCCCGCTGCTCCGGCTCTTTGTAGGGGAGCTGGAGCAACAGCGCCGCCGTGTGCCCGCCTAGAGGGAAAAATCTCAGCCCTCTTTTCCCGCCACCCACAGGCAGAAGATGCAGGTGCAAATTCAACCAGCAGCAGAGGTAAGATGCTCCGCTGGAGCTCTCTCTCACTCGACTACTATTGCCCAAGAAGGCGCTGGGGGGAGGCGGGAAGTCCATCCAATCCGCAGCCAGAAACCTTTCAGCAAGTATGCATTAAGCACCTACTATGTGCCAAGCCCGAAGCCAGGCCCTGGAGAGGCAGCGGTAAATAAACCGCCCGCCCTGCCTGGCAGAACTCCCAGCCCAGTGGGGTCAGAGGTGGTGGATTCCAGCAACCCCACAAATATAATGTCACAAAAGGTGATTTAAGTGCTGGGAAAGAAAGGGACACAGTGAAATGAGATCACCTCACAGGCTGTCCCAGTTTAGCTCGAAGTCCTGTTGCTAGCTCTTTGATTCATCTTTAAATAACGTTTCTAAGCCCAGGCAATGTCCAGGTATCTTCTCCATGTGATGGCTTTTCTATGTGAAAACAATTACAGATGTTATTATAAATAGTAGCTAATATTTATTGGGTGTGTATCATGTGCTAGGAGCTCTGGTGGCGCAGTGGTTAAGAGCTCGACTGCTAACCAAAAGCTCAGCAGTTCGAACCCACCAGCCGCTCCTTGGAAACCCTATGGGGCAGTTCTACTCTGTCCTCTAGGGTCGCTATGAGTCGGAATCGACTCAGTGGCAACAGGTTTGGTTATTTTTAATCATGTGCTAGATACGGTTCCATTACGTATATCTTATTGACCCCTCACACCATCCCTATGAGAAGGTGCTACTATTACCCTCATTTTACAGATGAGGAAACTGAGTCACAGGGAGGTAAAGTCACTTGACCAAGATCACGCAACTGGAAGGTGGGGTCTTGGGTTTCACACCCAGGCCGTCTCGCTACAGTCTGCCCTCAAGTCCCTTTGTCCATCCCTCCCCCTCCGACTTCAAGTCCCTTCCTGATGCTCCTCGGTGTCCACTGTTACCTTGGAGCGCCTCCTGCCCGGCCTTATTCTATAGGTTCACACAGAGACTGCTCCCGGAGGCTCTCGATTTTCTGGGGGACCCTGAACCTGCCCTTTGCCCATCTCTGGACCTCAGTACCAAAAACGAAAAAAAACCGAACCCGTTGTCGTCTAGTCGATTACGACTCATAGCGACCCTATAGGACAGGGTAGAACCGCCCCATAGGGTTTCCAAGGTGCGGCTGGTGGATTCGAACTGCCGACCTCTTGAGTAGCAGCCGTATCTCTACAGGGGGTCTCTGAAATGAGGGTTTTCCATCTCGCATTCTCTCTGCCTCTTCCTTCCCAGGACCGGGGAACCGGATGAAGAGGAGGGAACTTTCCGCAGCTCAATCCGCCGTGAGCTGGGGGGAGCGGGGGAGGAGGCTGCGATGTTTCGGGAGGAGGGCTGGTTCCAAAGACCCTTTCCTGGTCCTGCCTGGGCGTGTGGAAGGAGGGGCTTGATCTGAAGCCGGAAGGTGGGAGTCCTCTGCCTTAGACACCCCTCCGCAGAAGCCGCAGGTGCCCCTGCTGACGCCCCAACCCTCTGCCCCGCAGGTCTGTCCAGCCGCAGGCGGTAGAAACGCCTGGCGCGAAGGAACGCTCCCAGGTGCTGCAGCTCTGACTGCGCGGGGGGAGGGGAGGGGCGGGAGGGAGGCGGCAGGGGGAGGGCTGGGGGCTCTGTCCTCGCCTCTCACCCTCTTTACCCGCACAGGAGTCCCCTGGCACCCGACTCCTCTCACCCACCACCCGCGCGCCCACCGCCGCCTGGACGGCCCCCTTCCCCAACCTTGTTCCCACATACTCCCCGCTGCCACCCAGACGCCCAATAAAACCTGCTTTTCTCTCTTGACAGCGATTCGTTGGTCAGTCCCTCTGCACGCAGGCCTGGGCGCCCCGTTGGCCCCGGCAGGGGGCGCCCCCACCCTCGAGGAAGGGGCGGGGACGTCGGCAGTGGGCGGGGGCGGGGGCGGGGGTGGCCCAGACGGGGGCGGGCTCCCCGGGCCCCCATTGGCTGCAGGCGCCCCCAACACCAGGGCTCCCCTCACATCCCCCCACCGCAGTCCGTCCGGCTACCAGCTGCTGCAGCCGCTCCTTCACCGCCTAGACATCCAGCAGCCCCCTGCTCCAGCCCAGCATGGTGACCCCGACCCAGGCCCCCACAAAGGGTGAGCTGAGCCTGGGGCGGATACGCAGGGGGGCTGTGGGGTCGGAGAGCTTAGGAGAGAGGGTATGGGGGAACTGGAAAGACAGGGACGTGGGGAGGGGATGCCCGCTCCTCCCCTGGGCGGAGGCCCCTGTAGCAGCTTGGCACCCTTTCGGGTCTCTTGAACCCCTCGTCCCCGGCGGTGCGGTCCCTCTACGGGATCCGAGGCTGGAAAGGGGCGGCCTCTGGGAGAGGGAGCACGCAGACTGGTCGCTATGGCAACCGGATGGCTGGTCCAGCACAGCGGCGGTAGCCGGAAGGAAGAGATGGGCTGGGAGGGTGGGCGCGGTGGATCTGCAGCCAGAGGGGTTCTCAGAGATTTCAGGGGTTCACGGCGTGATGGGGGGAAGGGGATCATCTCCCTCCTCTCTTAAGCGCCGGATCCTATGGTACGTGTTTGTTGACGTTGCTGACAGGTTTAGAGGGAAGGAAGGAAACGCGGAAAGACAGGGAGCTGGAGAGAGGAAGTAACAGAGACGAAGAGAGACAGAGAGATACTGAGAGACAGACAGGAATGTAGACAGAGACAGACTGAGAGAGCCCGGAAAGCGAGAGAGAAGAGAGACTCAGGGAGAAATAGAGACAGATAGGAGCTTTGAAGAGATCCAGAGAGTGAAGGGAGAGAGAGACAGAGACAGAGATAGTCGATCTGTATATACGTGTGTATATATATGTAGAGAAAGAGAGGACCAGAGACAGACCGAGAGACGGGGGGAGATAGACAAGGAGGGGGCGCAGACAGACACAGAGAGACAGACAGACCTACAGCGAGAGAGAGCAATAGAAAGAGAGATAAAGGGGGAGGGAGAGGCAGCATTGGGTGGGGCCCGAACCACTGCAGTGAGCCCCCATGGGTGGGAATGGGGTGGGCGCCCTCCTTCCCAGCCTGCATCCAGGGTTGCCTGACCCAGGAGGCACACTTGGGTGTGTGCATACGGCTGCCCCCGCCGGCATCCCGCCGCGCTCTGGTTTACATTTCGCACTCATTAACGCAGTTATGCACCCACTTAAACAGTGTTACCCCCTAACAACCTCCTTTCCTGAACCCGTTTCTGCAAAGGAGTAAGGGGAGAGTGCTTTAATGGGGCGGGGGGGGGCAGGTGGGCCTGGGAAAGGTTTCCAGCACTGTGGCTAGGGCCAGGGGTGCTAAGGAGCCCCTGGAAGTGAAGAGAACCCCAAGTTGCACACCCAGTTGCACAGAGCTCTCCTTCCCTGCCCCCTTTCCCGGCAGGCGGGGGCTGCTGCACTGAGCCGTATCTGCAGAATCCGAAGCAGGGCGGGGGGTGGGGGGGGGCTGTAGAGGCTGGAAGCCACCCGGGGGAGAGGGGGCAGGGCTGAGCCAGCAGGCCTGGCAGGAGCCCAGGGCTTCTTTTCACAGAGGTGGTGGTTAGCGGGATCGATGGCAGCAGACGGGCAGAGGTGGAACAGACAGACGCCTCCGCATCCCCAGCTCCCTTTTACCCACTCACAGCAAGAGAGGGGGCAGCGGGTCTCGGGAAATCGGGGAGGGGGAAGCCAGCTGTGCTTTGCAAGTCACTTAAGGAAACTAGTTAATGAAGTGGTCGGTGGGGCAGGGGGAGCTGAAGGCCTCTCGTCCTGCCAGGAAGCAGGAAGGAGAATGGGGGGTTGGGGGACAAGTAGAGAGGGATGTATGAGCACAGGTGGATCTGGGTCCCTATCCTGAGAGGAACCGTCAGCTTGGCCAGAAACCAGTCCTGCAGGGGCATCAGCGGAGGTGCAGAGGCAGGAGCGGGGGACTTAGGGCTGCCCCCAGGGTCAGAGCCCAAACCCCCAAGCCTCACACAGACCCCACCCCAGCCTCAGGTGTCCGGACTCGTCACCTCTCTTCACTTCTCAGGATGCCCCGGTTGCCCTAGTAACCACCTCTTTCCTAGTGTCTCCTTGGCAACTGACCAAGAGTAGTGCACACTCCTGGCTCCACCCTTAGCCCAGCTCGCTGCTAGGGCGGAGAGTGCTGAGGCAGCAGGGATCAGGCGGGCGGAACTTCTGCCTGGAGCAGCAAGCTCTCAGGGAAGAACCAGAGGATTCTGGGACAGGTGCTCACCCGGTGGGTTCCTGATAACTGCCAGGGAGGGAGGGTGTGTTAAACTCCAAAGACAAAGACCAAATAATATAACTGCTCCACCTTTTGTGCAGCCTCCGGCAGCCTGGAGGGCCTCACATTCATTCATTCATTCCAGAAAACTTCTTTGAGAGCTTTTCTTAAATGTGAGGATTAGTGCAGAGACCAGTCAAGGTTACCCACCATCTGGTGGGGGGAGCTGAGAGAGAAACATAGATGACTCTAAAATAGCGTTTCCTCTTCTTGATGCTTTTGAGCCACCACCTTCATGATTTTTGTCCTATCCAAATATTCCCCACACTGCTATGTATTTAATATTTTTCCATCAAAGGGTTAACTTTTTAGAAATTTAATTAGCTTTATTTCACATCACTGCCACAAATGGAAATACAGCATTTTTTTATTGGGCTTTAGATGAAGGTTTACAGAGCAGATTAGTTTCTCATTAAATAATTAACACATGTATTATTTTGTGACATTGGTTGCCAACCCCACGACGCATCAGCACTCTCCCCTTTTTGACCTTGGGCTCCCCATTACCAGCTCTCCTGTCCTCTCCTACTTTCTCATCCTTGCTCCTGGGCTGGTGTGCGCATTTAGTCTCGTTTTGTTTTATGGGCCTGTCCAATCTTTGGCTGAAGGTGAACCTCAGGAGTGACTTCAGTACACAGTTAAAAGGATGTCCAGAGGCCATACTCTCAGAGTTTCTCCAGTCTCTATCAGACCAGTAAGTTTTTTTTGTGAGTTAGAATTTTGTTCTACATTTTTCTCCAGCTCTGTCTGGGACCCTCTATGGGGATCCCTGTCAGAGCAGTCAGTGGTGGTAACCAGGCACCATCTAGCTGTGCTGGACTCAGTCTGGTGGAGGCTGTGGTAGTTGTGGTCCATTAGTCCTTTGGGCTAATCAGAAGCACAGCATTTTTTGCCTTAAATTGAAGGCAAGCATAAAAACAATCTTGAGAGGGTGACTTCACCTTTCTGGGCCTCTGTGTCCCTCTTTTGTGAAACGGGGATGACAATAGCACCTACATCAAGAATTGCTGTGACGATTAAATGTGTCAACACCTGTTTAATGTGCCCAGAAGAAAACCTGGTGTGAAGTCAGTGCTATCCAATGCTGGTTAGATAAATCCAATAAGTAAAGGTGAAAACCAAATAATACCACGAAATTCTGCCTAGATATAGTTACCTCCCGAAGGCTCTGAGCTCAAGGCCTGTTTTCTCTTGGGTCAAGCGGGAGCTTAACAGGATTAGAAGGTGTTAAAGACACATCGGCACCAACCTAAGACTTCCTCTTTGGAGGCTGAGCAGAGAACTGAAAATGGCAAAACATGTTTTGTGAGTCATTGTTGTTCAGGGTCTTCCCCAGACGCCGTCTGTATCAGTCAGTTTAGGTTAGGCTATGCTGCCATGACAGATAGTACCACAAATCTCAATGGCTTGGGACAACTACAGTTTCTTTCCCACTCATACTATGTGTCCATCTCGGATCAACCCAGGGTCTCTCCTCACCAAAGAAAACTGGAACAGCCACTTTCTGGAACATCCTGGTCACCAGGCCAGAGGCAAAAGAACTTTAGAGGGTCTTGCACAGGCACTTATATGCTCCAGTATGGAAGTGACCGTGACACTTCCACTCACAGTTCATTGGCCAGAATTAATCACATGGTTCCACCCAACCTCAAGGGGGCATCCTTCCTTGAGCCTGGAAGGGGAAAGAAGAGACTAATGACAACAGCTGGCATTGCCCTGGCATGCCTCCCCTAGTGGTACACCCCCTGTGCTCTGCAGAATTCTACTCTAGACAAGACAGAATGTCCTAAGAGCTATCAGAGAAGTTAGAGAGCCATTGGGATGGGCTTCTTCAATGGAAAGGATGTTCTGAGCTCTCCTGAAGGAACATATGATTTGGAGCAAGGACGTGGGAGTTGGAGAGAGGTGGATCCACAGACACATACACGTCTTATACACCTGTTAATAATTCTGAAATTGGGGTGAGTCTTCTAATGGATGGGCATGTTTCATGTGGTAGAGTTACATACATCTTCACACGCTGTGGGAAAGCTATTATGAAATCAATTTTGGATCTTAAAAATCAATGGTGTTTTAGAAGTAAGTAACATACAGTGAAACCTGGGAGAGCTGGAACTCGACGGGACTGCCTCGTTTTTCTGGGTCTCGAAAGTTTTCCGCCTTTAACAGGACACAGTCTTAACGCTTTCTATCACTCTCTATTAGTATTTGAGTTTTCCTTCTCTGACAGGTCTCCACCTTACGCACGTTCCAGCTTTTGCAGGTTTTACTATAGGGTATTAAACTATGAGGCTGTCCTGTACTGAATTCAGCAGCAGGGCCAGTGGATGAGAGCAATAGCTACAGTGCCTGCCCTTGGGAGCTGTCAAATGACTGAGGAGTTTTAGGAAGTGTTCAGGGGACACTTGGTGATGCGTTCAGCAGTCTCCCAGTGGGAAATGGGATCTGTGCATTGTCCCTGGCATCATATGCAAACAGGAATGTATATGTGTTTTTAGGGAATGGATCCATAGATTGCATCAGGCCTGCACAAGGGCCCGAGAACAGGACTGCCTTGTACAGTCGGGTAGGTTGTACACTGCACATGGGAACATACTGATCAGTGTAGGAAGTGGGGGCTAGAATGCAGCCTATGCTCCTCTCTCCAGGTCATCTGCATCATCCAGAGCAAGGGGCCTCTTTATCTGATTTCCACAGAGAAACTGTTAGGCCAGTGGCCCCATCTGGATTCCTAAAAATGTGAGGAAACCCAGTGTTGAAATATTTTTCCCTCTCTCTTTCTCTGCCTTCCTTCCCATAGTGCCTCAGGAACCTGACCCATTTTACTATGGTGAGTGTTGGACTCTGTGATGAGGGTGCTCTGGGGGGCGCTCTGGGGCTGGATGGAGAGGCAGCGGCAGATCCCCAGGGGTCACTGCTGGTGTGGCTCTGGCTGTAGCCACGTGACGCTTGCTGGGTCACTGGCCATGTGACCACATGGGTGCAGCTCACAATGACTGGGCTTGAGGAGGGCAGAACCAGATGGGGCTGGGAATTCCACAGCTCCTCGGGGGCCCCTTCAGGTCTCACTCTGGGCTGGTGCCTTGTGTTCATCAGAGAACCAGATGAGGAAGGACTTAAAAACTTTGACTCTGAGGCCATGCTGCTGGGCGTTGAATCCCGGCTTATCCACTCGCTAGCTGTGTAACCTTGGTCAAGCAGCTTCATCTCTCTGAGGCCCTCTGTAACCAGGGGATAGTAATAGTTTCCACATACGAGGGCTGTGTCCCTGGGTGGCGCAAATGGTTTGCACTGGACTCCCATGGGGTTGCCATGAGTTGAAATCAACTAGACAGTAGCTAACAACAACAACTAACCTAAAGGTCGCCGGTTCGAACCCACCCAGTAGTGCCATGGAAGAAAGGCCCAGTGATCTGCTTTTATAAAGATTACAGCCAAGAAAATCCTATGGAGCAGTTCTAGTCTGTAACACATGGGGTTGCCGTGAGTCGGAATTGACGGCAATGGGTTGGGTTTTTGTTTGTCTTATGAAGACTGTAGGAAAGATTTACCTGGATAATGCCATTAAATTGTGAAGGCTCAAAGAAGTTACCCCCAGGTCTGGCAGATTTGGTCCAGTCACCCCCAGACACCCTTCTGACCTCTCCCTTTGCTCATTCGTAGTGTTCCACCAATACACCAAGTTCCTTCTCATCTTGAGACCTTTGCACCTGCTGTTCCCTCTGCCAGGAATAGCCTCTCCTAGCTCTCCACACAGCAGGCTAAGCTTCCTTCTCCTCTGTTGGGCCTCAGAGCACACGCTGACCGCTCTTCTCAGGGAGGCCCTCCCTGACTACTTGGGCTAGAGGAGCGGGCCACATCCACACCAAGCCGTGGTCACAAGACTCGGGGCTTTTTTGGTTTTGTTTTGTGTTTTGTAGTGCTTGATAACAATATGAAAGCCAACTCTTGGAAGGCAGAGGCCTGGCCCATTGCTGGCACAGAGTGAGTGTTTCACACATCCCAGAAAGTATTTACCGACCACCTACCAGGCACAGTTTCAGGCACTGGGGACTCCGCAGTGAGCAAGACAGACAAGAATCTCTACCCTCCTCCACCTTATGCTAATGGGAGACAGATACGCAGGGAAATAAATGTGAAAATTTGTGATACATTACATAAAAACAGTTCTTACGAAGGAAAATAGAGGGCATGAGATTAGAGAGTGTTGAGGAGTGTCTTAGTCATCTAGTGCTGCTCTAACAGAAATACCACAAGTAGAGATTAATAGAGAAGTTTAACCTCTCACAGTCCAGTTGGCTACAAGCACAAATTCAGGGCATCTGCTCCAGGGGAAGGCTCTCTGTCTGTCGGCTCTGGAGGAAGGTCCTTGTGATGCATCAGTCTTCCCTTGGTCTGGGAGCATCTCAGCACAGGAACCTCAGGTCCAAAGGACGTGCTCTGCTCCTGGCACTGCTTTCTTGGTGGTATGAGGTTCTCATGTGTCTCTGCTCGCTTCTCTCTTTTATATCTCAAAAAAGATTGGATTAAGACACTATCTAATCTTGTAAACCTCATCAGTATAATCTCATTACAATGATAGGATTTACAACACGTAAGGAGGTCACATACAACCTCATCATAGTGATAGAATATACAACACGTAAGGAAATCAGATCAGATTACACAATCATACAATATTGGGAATCAAGACCCAGCCAAGTTGACAGATATTTTGGGGGGACACAATTCAATCCATGACAAGGAGGGAATATGAAATTCTCAATAGAACAACCAGGGAAGCCTTCGCTGATGTTTAAGTAAAGTCCACAAGTTGGTGAGGGAGGGGGCCATGTGGATATTTGGGGGAAGAGCCTTCAGGTAGAAGGAACAGCAAGGGCAAAGGCCCTGAGGTAGGACCATGCCTGATATGCTCTAGGAACAACAGGGAGGCCAGTGAGGCTGAAGTAGGGTAGCAAGGGTGAATGGGATGAGGTGCAAGAAGGAATGTGTTGTTAGGTGGCATCGAGTCAGTTCTGACTTATAGTAACCCTATAGGACAGAGTAGAACTGCCCCCATAGGATTTCCAAGGAGCGGCTGGTGGATTTGAACAACTGACCTTGTTGTTAGCAGCCGAGCTCTTAACCACTACACTGACGAACAGGGATTAGATAATAAAGAGCCTTGTGAGCCATGGGGAGGACTTCTGCCTTTACGTTGACAGCGATGGGAGCTGGGGAAGGCTCTGAGCTGAGGAGATCGCTGATCAGACTCAGGTGTTCACAGGGTTCCTGTGTCTACATGAAGGGAATGTACTGTGAGGGTGGAGCAGAAGAGCCAGACCATAGAGAAGTCTGCTGTAATAGTCCCGATGGGCAATAATGGTAGACAGGACTGGGACTAGGGTGTGGGGCATTAGAGGGGGAGATAAACAAATTAAAAAAAAAAAAAGGCTAGCTAGGGCAGAAGGGCCAGAGAGAGAGGGAAGGAGCAAAATGTAGAGAAATCTTTGGGGAGCAAAAAATGCCCAAGCCCATTTTCTCAATTAACCCACTGGAGGAGCCTCCAGGATGGCCTGCAGCATCCCTGAACTCTGGGAATGTGGCTGGTCTGCCTTGAGGTCAGGACTGAGGCTCAAGGTGGGCCTGAGCTACCAACCCCTGCCTTGATGTCCCGCATTATCTCCCTAGACTATGACACTGTACAGACTGTGGGCATGACTCTGGCTACCATCTTGTTCTTGCTGGGAATCATCATCATCGTCAGTAAGTGTAATCCCTTCTTGAGCTCCGAAGCTGCCTCAAAGACATCCCCCTGCCGCTGGCTTTTCCCCTGTTGGCTTTTGTCCACATCCTTATATCTTGTCTCCTTGTTCTGTCTCTCTCTCTCTCCTAACAGGCAAGAAGATGAAGTGCAGGAAGGCGGACTCCAGGTCTGAGAGGTCTGGCAGCAATGGGAGCAGAGGGGAAAGGCAGTGGGAACATCCTGAGGTGTAGGGATTCTTCCCTAATGGAAGGTCCCCTGGGCTTGTCACATGTTTCCCATAAAGCCCGTGGCTGTTGAACCTCTTCATGCTTTTCTCTCTTGTTTTTGCTTCCACAGCCCAACATGCAAATCCTGTAAGTCGGAGCTTCCCTCTTCAGGTGAGTGAGAGAAAATGTGTAGCTCTGAGAGAGGCTAGGTGGGAGCAGAAGTGGTGGCCATTAGAATGGGGGTTCACCACCCATCTGTCAGTTTGTTGTACTGTGGTGGCTTGTGTGTTGCTGTGATGCTGGAAACTATGCCATTGGTATTTCAAACACCAGCAGGGTCTCCCATGATGGACACATTTCAGTGGAGCTTCCAGACTAAAACAGACTATGAAGAAGGACCTGGTGATCTACTTCTAAAAAAACTGGCCAGTGAAACCTTATGAATAGCAATGGAAAGTTGTCTGATATGGTGCCGGAAGATGAGCCCCTCAGGTTGGAAGGCACTGGGGAAGAGCTGCTTCCTCAAAGTAAAGTTGAACTTAATGATGTGGATGGAGTAAAGCTTTTGGGACCTTCATTTTCTGATGTGGCACAACTCAAAATGAGAAGAAACGCTGCAAATATCCATTAATAATTGGAACATGAAATGTATGAAGTATGAATCTAGGAAAACTGGAGGTTGTCAAAAATGAAATGGAACGCTTGAAGATACATATTCTAAGCATTTGTGGGCTGAAGTGGACTGGTATTTGTCATTTTGAATCAGACAATCATATGGGCTCCTATGCTGGGTATAACAAATTCAAGAGGGACAGCATCACATGAATCGTCAAAAAGAACATTTTAAAATCTTTCCTGAAACACAATGATGTCAGAGATAGGATAATACCCATATGCCTACAAGGAAGAACAGTTAATATGACTATTATTCAAATTTATGCATGCACCAACCACTAATGCCAAAGATGAAGATATCGAAGATTTTTGCTAACTTCTGCAGTCTGAAATTGATCAAACATACAATCAAGATGCATCGATAATTACTGGTGATTGGAATGCGAAAGTTGGGAACAAAGAAGAAGGATCAGTAGTTGGAAAATATGGCCTTGGTGACAGAAACGACACAAGAGATCGCATGATAGAATTTTGCAAGACCAATGACCTATTAATTGGAAACACCTCTTTTCAACAACATAAATGGCGACTATACACGTGGTCCTCGCCGATGGAATACACAGAGATCAAATTGACTACATCTGTGGAAAGAGATGATGGAGAAGGTGAATATCATCAGTCAGAACAAGGCCAGGGGCTGACTGCAGAACATACCATCAATTGCTCCTACACAAATTCAAGTTGAAGCTGGAGAAAATTAAAACAAGTCCACGAGAGCCAAAGTACGACCTTGAGTATATCCCACCTGAATTTAGAGACCATCTCAAGAATGGATTTGATGCATTGAATACTAGTGACCAAAGACCAGACGAGTTGTAGGATGACATTAAGAATATACATGAAAAGAGCAAAAGGTCATTAAAAAGACAGGAAAGAAAGAAAAGACCAAAATGAATGTCAGAAGAGACTCTGAAAGTTGCTCTTGAAAGTAGAGTAGCTAAAGTGAATGGAAGAAATGATGAAGTAAAAGAGCTGAACAGAAGATATCAAATGGCAGCTTGAGAAGACAAAGTAAATGGAATATGCAAAGTAATGGAATGTGCAGAGTCAAAGTAATGGAATGTGCAAAGACCTGGAGTTAGACAATCAAAAGAGAAGAACGTGTTCTGCATTTCTCAAGCTGAAAGAACTGAAGAAAAAATTCAAGCCTCAAGTTACAATTTTGAAGGATTCTATGGGCAAAATGGAGCCCTGGTGGTGCAGTGGTTAAGAGCTTGGCTGCTAACCAAAAGATCAGTGGTTCGAATCCACCAGCTGCTCCTTGGAAACCCTATGGGGCAGTTCTACTCTGTCCTATAGGGTTGCTATGAGTTGGAGTTCGGTTTTGGTTTTAGGATTGGCAAAATATTGAATGACACAGGAAACATCAAAAGAAGATGGAAGGAAGACCCAGAGTTACTGTACCAAAAAGAACTGATTGACATTCAACCATTTTAGGAAGTAGCATATGATCAAGAACCAACGGTATTAAAGGAAGAAGTCTGAACTGCACTGAAGACATTGGTGAGAAACAAGGCTCCAGGAATTGATGGAATACCAATTGAGATGTTTCAACAAATCAGTGCGACATTGGAAGTGCTCACTTGTCTATACCAAGAAATTTGGCCAACCAACTGGAAGAGACCTATATCTGTGCCCATTCCAAAGATAGGTAATCCAACGGAATGTGAAAATTATCTAACAATATCATTACTATCACATGCAAGTAAAATTTTGCTGAAGATAATTCAAAAGCTGTTGCAGCAGTACATCAACAGGGAACTGCCAGAAATTCAAGCCAGATTCAGAAGAGGACATGGAACAAAGGATATCATTACTGATGTCCGATGGATCTTGGCTGAAAGCAGAGACTACCAGAAAGATGTTTACCTGTGTTTTACTGACTAGGAAAATGTGTTTGACTCTGTGGATCATGACAAATTATGGATAACATTGGGAAAAATGGGAATTCCAGAACACTTAGTTGTGCTCCTAAGGAACCTGTACATAGACCAAGAAGCAGCCGTTTGAACAGAACAAGGGGATACTGAGTGGTTTAAAATCATAAAAGGTGTGCATGAGGGTTGTATGCTTTCAACATACTTATTCAATCTGTATGCTGAGCAAATAATCCATGAAGCTGGACTCAGGATTGGAGGAAGATTCATTAACAACCTGTGATATGCAGAGGACACAACCTTCCTTGCTGAAAGTGAAGAGGACTTGAAGCACTTACTGAAGAAGATCAAAGACTACAGCCTTCAGTATGGATTACACCTCAGCATAAAGAAAACAAAAGTCCTCACAACTGGACCAATAAAGCAACATCATGAGAAAAGATTGAAGTTGTTAAGGATTTCATTTTACTTGGATCCACAATCAGTGCCCATGGAAGCAGCAGTCAAGAAATCAAAAGACACACGGCACTGGGCAAATCTGCTGCGAAAGACCTCTTTAAAGTGTTAAAAAGCAAAGATGTCACTTTGAAGACTAAGGTGCGCCTGACCCAAGCCGTGTGTCTTAGTCGTCTAGTGCTGCTATGACAGAAATACCACAAGTGGATGGCTTTAACAAACAGAAATTTATTCTCTCACAATCTAGGAGGCTAGAACTCTGAATTCAGGGTGCCAGCTCCCAGGGAAGGGTTTCTGTCTCTGTCAGTTCTGGGGGAAGGTCCTTGTCGTTGATCTTCCTCTAGTCTAGGAGCTTCTCAACACAGGGACCCGGGGTCCAAAGGACGCGCCCCGCTCCTGTGCTTCTTTCTTGGTGGCATGAGGTCTGCCATCTCTCTACTAGCTTCTCCTTTTATCTCTCCTAAAATAAAAGTTGATGCAGGCCACACCCCAAGGAAACTCCCCTTACATCCGATCAAGGCTGTGACCTGTATAAAGGTGTTGCATCCCACCCTAATCCTCTTTAACGTAACTTAATCTTGCTTCATTAACCACAGGCGGAGCTTAGGATTTACAACACGTAGGAAGATTATATCAGATCACAAAATGGAGGACAACCACACAATACTGGGAATCTTGGCCTAGCCAAGTTGACACATATTTTTTGGGGACACAATGCAATTTATGACACCATGGTCTTTATAATCACCTCATATGCATGCAAAAGCTGGACAATGAATAAGGAAGACTAAAGAAGAATTGATGCCCTTGAATTATGGTGTTGGCCAAAAATACTGAATATACCATAGACTGCCAGAAGAACAAACAAGTGTGTCTTGGAAGAAGTACAGCCAGAATACAACTTGGAAGTGAGGATGATGAGACTTCGTCTCACATACTTTGGACATGTTGTCAGGAGCAACCAGTCCCTGGAGAAGGGCATCAACGTAGAGGATCAGGGAAAAAGAGGAAGACCCTCAACAAGATGGATTGACACAGTGGCTGCAACAATGGGCTCAAACATAACAATGATTGTGAGCATGGGGTGGGACCGGGCAGTGTTTCATTCTGTTGTATACAGGGTTGCTATGAGTCAGAAGCGACTCCAAGGCACCTAACAAGAACAGAATAGGGGTTGCATTCGATGTCCCTGGGAATGGGGCCATGCCCATGCATTAGATGTACATGGGAAAATTCAGTAGGAAGCTTAAACCCTGCAAATCAAAAATGCTCAGCCATGCAGAGTCAGTGGGATGTGAAATGTCCTCAAGAACTCACAAAGCTTCCCAGAAACAATTCCATGAGCCTATGGAAGCACAGATGAACTGATGTCACGGATCAGAAAGCCACAAGCCCAGGAGAAGAGGGGCCCATGTGGGAAAAGGGCTTCTGCTAGTCATAATGCCAAGAGTTGAGCACTTGAGAGGACAGGAAGATAGAATGCTTTCTGGACTTTATTGTTCTGCTGGGCAGACGGAGGATCAACTGGCCAAGAGAAAGAAAGATATCCGGATAGGTGAACCCCTGAATAACTGTGTCAAAATAACAAAAAGAGAGAGGCATAGGACACAGATTAAAAAATGTTGATGTGGGAAAAGAGAGACTATGGGGACGTCGGGAGTATGAGGATGCAGTGTGTATGAGAAGGATGGAAGGTAAATGGTTGAAGAGTGAACAGGATTGGAGAGTGTAAGGGGGCTGGAGGTGTAGACGGACCTGGGAGGTAGAGGGGGTGTAGAGTGCAGGAAAGGGGTGGGGGTTTTGGAAGGGGATGTGGATGTAGGACAGGGAGAGGGTAAAGGGTAGGGGAGGAATGCAGGAGGGAGAGGAGGGTGGTGGAGGAGGATGGTGGGTGTAGATGGACTGAAAGTATAAAGGACTGTGGCAGGAGATGGTGGGTGTAGGAGGGGTGAGTGTGTAGATGAAAAGTTGTGACTCCTTAAGGGTGCTCATTTTAATTATGTAAAACTATCTTGACCTGTTTTTAGTGGGATTGCGTCCTTTTCAGGGACTTAAAAGAAATCAGAGCTGGGAATCTCTGCCCCTTCTAAAGTTCTTACAACTAAAAAATATGGGCTTTGTGGTATTCAGTATTTTGGGGAAGCTGGTGTGGAATTTCATGCATTTCGTTTCACATTCCTTTAAGTGGATTTGAAAACATTAATGGGTGTTAATGAGGTAGATCACCCCAAGGAAGAAGAAGCATTTTGTGGATGATAGACAGGTACGTACTTAGCCCTAGAACCTGGGTACAGTTTAAAAATATATCAGCTTGTCCCAGTTAAATCATAGTCCCAAATTGGCAGGAAATGGAGGAATTCCTTTTGTATCCAAATATTTAGGATGGGGTGGGGTGTAGGAGAGAGGCAGGGGGGTAGGAGGGATGGAGGGTATAGGAGGGAGGTAGTGAGTATAGGAGAGAGATGGAGCTTAGGAGGGGGTGGGATTCCCTTTCTGGCAGGAACAGGGTCCCAGAAAAGCCTAGGTTGGTCTGGGGTCTAGCTTCATCAGAGAAGTGTCCCTACAGACTGGGCCCCTGTGGGGCAGGATGGAAGCCACACAAGTGTTAACATATAGACCAGACATTAGGGTGCCAGTGCCAGCCCAAGGGTGACAGTTCCTGAGAGGGGTCCCACTTTTATGGACTCGAGGGTCCCCAGCTTGGCCTTGGGGGACTGCTCCCACCCCTCTGGTCGCTGATGCCGGCTCTCTCTCTCTCTCTCTCCCCCCAGCCCCTGGCGGCGGCGGCGTCTAAGATCAGCCTCTGGCACCTCCACTGCCTTCCCTGCCCTAGTGCGGGAGCCTGATGACCCGGTGGAGGCGGTGGGGACCCCAGGTTTGCGCCAGGGAGCGCTCCCCCGAATGAGCCGCCACACCCACCTCGAGGCTGGAGCCTCTGCACCCCGCCGCCCCTCCCCAGGCCTTGGCAATGACGATCCCCCAAAGATCCTGTCTGCATCCCAGACCCAGGGACTCAGGCCTCCAGCTCCTGGGATTCGGAAGTCCACCTCCAGCCCCACAGAATCCCCACGTACTGCTCCCTTTCACCTCCTTGTCTCCTGCCCAGGGATTCGTTCCGCTGACCCCTCGGTGTCTCTGTCGTGAGCTTAATAAATGTGCATTTGGTTTTTTCCCCTGTTCTGTCTGTGTGTTCTCGTCTGTGCGGACGGAACGGGACGGTGGGGGACCGGCGGACTGAACCTGGGGCAGCTCTCCCCAGCGTCCCCAGAGTTGCCCCTCCTCCCTTCTTGGCCTCCTTCCCCTCCCCCAATGTCCCGAGGTGCCTCCTCCCGGTCCTCAGAACCTCTCCTCCCTCCAAACCCTCTGAACTGCCCCTTCCCTTCCCAACCCACCCCTTCCCCCAAACCCGTTGCGGTCGACTCTATTCCGACTCATAGCGACCCTATAGGACAGAGTAGCACTGTCCCATAGGGTTTCCGAGGGGCGGCTGGTGGATTCGAACTGCCGACCGTTCGGTTAGCAGCCGAGCTCTTAACCACTGCGCCACCAGGGCTCCTCTCCTTTCCCCCAGCCCTCCCTAACCCTTCCCTCCCCCCAGGGATCCCATACTAGCCCCCTCTCTCTTCTCCCCAAGACATCCACTCACCTGGTCCCTCCTCCCTTCCCCTCCCATTCTCCCCTCCCGGGAGGAGGCCCACCCACCTGCCCAGTTCCCCATCCCCAGACCCGGTGGGTGGAGGCCACCGCCCCTACCCCCCGCCGTCTTCAGCGTCCCCCTCCTGCTTCCATCCCGGGCTCTGAAACCAGGAAACCGAAAAGGAAATGACTAGCCGGTCCCGGTCCCCGCCCGCCCGCGCTCCCCTGGCCACACCCTCCGCCTTAACGCTGCTACCTCGGCGGCCCGCTCCCCGCGACACTGCCCTGCCGCCTCGGGACCCCCAGCTCTGACGTAAGTCCCTCCTCCAACCCACCGCCGTCCGCCCCCCTCTGCCAGGGCCGGGCTCAGGTGGGTAGCAGAAGGAACTTTTCCGTGCCTCTCGCCCCCATTCAGGCTCGCTCCTCTCTGCCTCCTGGGCTCTTACTGCCTTGGGCTGCCTTGCTCGCTGCTCGTCTCCCTCCGGCGCCCCGGTCTCCCCAGCCCTCCTCCATCCCTCTGAGACCAGTGCCTACCAGATCTACCCAGCATCCTATTCTGTTGTCCCCGCAGAGCGGCCTCTGACACCAGCTCACTTTTTCCAACAAGATCAAGAGCGTATTACTCACTCTTCCTCTTTCCCCCTTCTTGCTGACTCCTCTGCTGTGGGCTCTGGGGACCTGCCTGGGGGAGGACAGAGGCCCCCTGATGTATTGCCTTCTGGCGTCCAGACCTCTCCCTGCTCCCTTCACAGCCAGCCTGGGCCAGGGCTGGGGGCCTGGGCCAGGCAGCAGGGAGGTGCATCTCTGCTTCAGAGCATCCCTGGGAGGCCAGTTTGGTCTGATGCTTCTTGTTTTCCTTAGGGACCAGAGTGGAGAGAAAGCGGGTGTCAGCCTGGGACCCTGTACCTCAGAGCCCTGCCTCCAGCTGGCTGTTGGTACTGGCATGGGGTCCTTGAAGCCAGGGGTGGCTGCTAGGGGCAGGGATGAGGCTGCAGGATCCCCCCATCCAGGGTGATGGCTGCTGGGGCCTGCCTCACGGGGTCACGGCTGATCCCAGCTCTGGCTCATCCCTTAGATGTCGCCTTCTGGTCCCCTGTGTGTCCTCAGCATCGTTGGCCTGGTTATCCTCACCAGAGGTAAGGCCCTGCCTTTGTCCACCCTGCTCCCCGAGCCCCTGGCCCTACTCTGAGTGTGCTGCTGGGTGGGGAGCTGGTGAGAAGACTCTCTGCCCTGTTTCCTCATTCTGCCTGCTGAACTGGCCCCAGGAACTGGGGGTCCCTCTGCAGGGGGTGGGGTTAACCCTACAAGAACACCTCAGGCCTGGTGGCTGCTTCCAATGAGTCTGGCCAGACCATGTCCTGCTGAGCATCTTCCATTCTGCCTCCAAGAAGAACTTGCTGAGTTTGATTTGGCGGGGAGATGGGTGTCGGTTTTCTACAGGGTAGCCAGGAACCTTGGGCTCTCAGCAAAGCAACTTCCTGAATCCCTGGGTGATGCACAGTTAGGGTGAACTGGGGCTGGTTCAAAGAGCAAGATGGCTCAGTTCTGCCTGGAAAATGTTTCCCAGAAGCAGTAACTGTGGTGGGCATTTATGGGGCATTTTCTAGATGACAAGTGCTATATGAGTTATCTCTTTTTAGCTTCAATTCTATGTTATTATACATACTGGCATGCCCATTTTATGGATTGGGAAACTGAGGCTCAGTGAGGAGAAGCACCCTGTGCCAGAGGCTAGAGAGTGGAAGAGCTGGGATTACAACGGTCCCGCCTGCCCCCAGAGCCCGGAGTGTACACGCCTCTGAAGCTGCTCCTGTTTCTCTTGGATAAAATGATTTTTGTGGCTTTTTTTAGTCATTCAGCAAGGATTTGTTGAGCGTCTACTACACACCAAACCCTATTCTAGGCACTGGGGAGATTGCAGTGAGCAGGACAAGAGCTTACATTCTAGCCGGAAAGACAGACAATGAACAGCAAGTCAGTGTATTAGATTGCATGCTGGAAGGGGATGCATCTACAGAGAAGGGTAAAAAAAACCCAAACCCACTGCCGTCGAGTCGATTCGGACTCATAGCTTCCCTCCTGGACAGAGTAGAACTGTCCCCATAGAGTTTCCAAGGAGCGGCTGGTGGATTCCAACTGCCGACCTTTTGGTTAGCAGCCGAGTTCTTCACCACTGTGCCATCAGTGCTCCCATGGAGAAGGGTAGTGAGAATTATTTAAATCGAGTGATCAGGGAAGGCCTCACTGAGGAGGTGGTATTTGGGCAAACAATTGGAAGGAGATGAGGGAATGAGCGAAGCAGGTATTTGGGGGTGGTGAGTTTGAGGA